CATAACGTTAGCTTTATCACTGGTATGTAACTTTGTCCTATAAGACTCTCTAATAGATATATTAGAAAGTTAAGGCTTTGTTCAAGGAAGACTACATTATTCTGCTAAATAGGAGATTAATTTGATGAAAAAATTCATATCAACCAGCTTGACTGAAAGGGTTACCAGTTAGACGAAACAGTAAGTTTGGTGGTGTTTGGATGAAGTCGCAGTTTAAACCAGAGTTTTCAGTTTAGTGTTTTATTAAAAATGCAGATTGTTGAACCCTACCTTGACCCAGAATTTCTTAGAGGAGTTCTTCAGAAGTTACAATTTTGGGATCTCACAGTGAAGCTTGAGAACCTCTGGCTGAGACCATACAAAATTACTTGAGCATGAAGTAGCATGTCGTGGGACAGCAGAGAAAAGCTTTGGATTAATATTAGAAGCCCAGATGTTTGTCTGGATTCTGCCTCTTACTGGTGCTTTGGTCTTGTATAATCATTTCATATCTACCCTTTAGGATTATTGTAGGAAGCCGATGTGATGGTGCACATGAATGCACTTTTTAATCTGTACATCGTCATTCAAATGTAAGATAGCATTATCCTTATGGTTATGGTCAATACAAAGTCTTTAAATAATAATCCATCTGACCTAATAGAGTTGTTCCTTTTCCCATATAATGTTAAACATTAATAAAAAATAATCTAGGGCTAGTCCCAGTGGCCCAGAAATTAAATTTGGCATGCTCCACTTTGGTGACCAGGATTTGGTTCCTGGGTGTGGACCTACACTGCTTGTCTGTTGGTGGCCATGCTGTGGTGGTGGCTCATGTACAAAATAGAGGAAGATGAACACAGATGTTAGCTCAGGGTGAATCTTCCTTAGCAAGAAGAAGAAGAATGGCAACAGATGCTAGCAGGGTGAATCTTCCTCAACAACAACAACAACAAAAATAATAATAATCAAGATGACAAAACAAAAAATGCTTTATAGAATGCGATTGGGGTGGAAACGAAGTTAGTAGTGGCCAGCATCTCAGGTCTGAGTTGTACCTGGACTGATTTGAGCAAATGCTAGATGTGTTCTGAAGCAAAGTGTGGTCCAACGAGGACAATGGCAAGGTGGTACATGTACAGAGGAATTAAATTGCATTGAGAGCAGATGGAAAATGAGTGCCTATGCCTGAGTCAACCTAATCAAGATCTAGAAGCCATAAAGACAGCAAGTCGAACATAAATCAAGCATGAAGCACCACAGCTGGAGCAGTAGGCTGAGCCCTGGAGTGTACAAAAGAACACGAGACCATCTTTTTTTCTTTTATACTTAGCTAGGGCAAGACCTCTTTAGGGCACTGAGTCCATTTCTTGGCCTCCTCACTAATAGCACTTGTTAAAAATAAAATCTGAAGACAAGCACAAGTGTAGGAAAGTTTCTGAAAAGTATAACTTTTGATCAGAAGACTAAAGGCGGAAGAAGAGAAAACAAAGAAACTCTCCTCTGAATATTTTCTTGTTACTACAGGGTTAGCCTGAAATAATGTCAGTGTGTTAACTCAGTCACTTAGGTTGTCAATCAGTTCCAAGAAAGGGGTCATTCCCATCACCGTCCATACCTCCTGAAGTACTGTGAGCCCTCTGACCATTCATTCATTCAACAGATATTTTTGAAGTACATACTCTTTAATGTGCCAGACCCTGTGTTAGGTAGATACTGGAGGTACAAGAAAAAGCAAGGCAGGCATGGTTTGTGTTCTCAGGAAGCTGTGGCTTGCCTGTCCTGTGCAGCATGTGCCTACTGTAGATCGTTAGCAAAAACGGCCACAGTTACTCCCCTCTCTATATCCACATCCCTTTGCAATGTGACAGCAACACCTCCCATCAACAGATAGAGACTGTTTTTCCACCTCTTGAATCTAGAACCCATGACCACCATGAGAATAAGCCTGGGTCAACATGATGGAAGATGAGGATCCACGTGGAACTAACTATTCTTGCTGAGTTCATCCTAGATCAGCTGGCTGATAGCCACTCAGGCGGCTGCTGCGGACTCCAGTGTGAGCCCCGGGAAGACTGGAAGAATTGCTTAGTCCAGTCCAGCCTAGCCCAAATTACTGATCTATAGAATCTCAAACTAAATAAATGGCTGCTTTAAGACACTAAATTTTGGAATGATTTGTTATGCAGTCAAAACTGACTGAGTAGCCCTTAACTTTGTAAATATGGCTCACAGTTCATTTTGGGCACAGAATTTTCTCATATGGCTTATCAAATTACCTTGACAACTGCCAACTCTCCACTTCACTTTGTGCTGTATGGACACAGTCTCAGTGTACAGTTGTCAGAATACAGACACCCTGGGGAGATTTGATATTGGATCTGTGATCTGCGGAATATGAAGTTGACTAATGTGCTTGAGATGTGACATATATAGTATAATACACTTCTTGGAGAAAATGCAAGTATATCAGCAGCACATAAACATCTACAACAGTACAAACTTCAAACAAGCAGTTTAAAAGTTAGTGTAAATCCAACTAGCTTTGTTTCCTAACCTGATTGCTTACGATGCAAAAAAAAAAAAAAAGGCTGTTTGTCAGACACTGAATTTGTACAACTAATCAACTCTGTCCTATAGACACGGCCATAAAGCCTCTGATTTTTCCTTCAAAGAATTTTATTATTTTGATATATTATTGAAACTACCACCAAAGGCTGATGTATCATTCCAGATGTCTGTGTTGAACTGCCTTGATTCTAATGATGACACATCAGAGGAGATTAGTGAACTGGACCTTTGATTTATCTTAATTTTCAAACATGTCAGAGTGTCTTTTCCTCTTTTCCTGGCAGCCACTCTTTTCTGTCCAGCTCTCCCAGCTGGGCATTTTGGGAAAGCAGCCAATTCCAGGGCTAAAGTGTTTCTGCTGTTATCTGACACTGGTGCTGCTTCATAGAGGCAGCAATGAAGATAAGCCCTAATTGGATGTATTTTTAAAGCAAACCTTTTAGTTACTTAGAGCAGAGCTTCCCCAATTAGCTTCCTTTCTCCTCTCTCTGGCTGTGCAAGAACCACACTAATGTGAAATGCTGGATTTGGAAGGGAGTCAAAGGCAGTGTCGGGGCAACTAAAGGACAATCAGAATGAACTCTGGAGAAACACTCCACTGGACAGGCTGGGAGCTGTATTTCCAGAAAGGCAAGGCAAGTGATGGGTGTTGAGAGGATCAGACATGACAAGAGGCCCCAGCAGTGGTCCAGGGTACACTACCAACTGTCCCACCCTGAAGCACGTGAAAGGAGAGGGAAGGAATATACAGGCACTGAAAGAGAAAGAATCACTACTTCATAATGGCCATCATTGTGCCCCAATGGAAATATATTGCTTCAATGAAAAATATTTTAACCTTAGTTCAGGACTGTCAGTTTTAAGTTACATTCTTTAATATATTATCCTCAGGTTGGAGAAAATCTATTTAAATCCCTACCTTCTTTAAGATACTTGCCAGATTTTGATAGTGATTGAGTAAGAAAGCTGCTTAGCAAAAGGAGCAGGTTTAGAGGGCTTGATATTGAAAAAAAAATAGAGAAAAGAAGCAGGGTAGAAAAACATTTTTTTCTGGCTTTTATTTCTGAAATGGAATTAGAAGTGAGACATAATAAGTTAATAATTTCCCTTTGGTTGGAAGTAGGTCTGCCATCATTACCTCCTACTCCCTAGGGGGTGTGAGTTCCTGCATTCATTTTAGTGTTATTTAATAGCAGGGGAATGAGGATAAATGCCCCTTTTGGCAGATCCATCCAGACTGTATTACATTAGTCCTGTGGTCAATTAGAAGGGGTGAGCCTGGGCTGGGCTGGGTGGCGGTAGTGGGGGTAAGAGGAGAGAGTGAGGTGGGGCGTGGTGAAGAGAAAGCAGAGAGGAAGCAGCTGCACTCCACTGAACCAGGCTCTCCATCTGGCTCCTCGACTTGACTTCCTACCCATTTTTATGGAGGCATCTGTCCCCACAGACCTGCCCCCGACACTAGGAACTTCATCTCAGGTTCTGACTCAGGGATTTACTTCACAGGAAGTTAGAATTTGAGTTCAGTGTTATAAGGTTACACAGGTTGTGATTTTTGCATGCAGGCACTATTTGAAAATTTACTTACTGAAATTAATATTAACATGTGGAATGTTTGACTTACTTTATAGGTCAGTTTCCAAATTTTGCAAACCAGTGACCTAACAAGATAATATTAACTTGGAGACATATTTTTCTCTTTCCTCTCTTTTGATTTCTCACGGGATTATAGTACTGTGTGTAAATCTTGAATCTTCCTCTATCTGTGCAGGCCCCCATATGTACTCCTCTGCACGTAGGAATAAATTTTCCAACAGATAGTCCCTCTTCACGATAATAACCCAGACTGGTATGATGACTGTTGTGAAACTAATTTAGTTCTAATGATTAAGTAATATGTTTGGTGTTTGCTTTAGCGTTCCGGGATAAAAATTTACAAACAGTGACTTAACAAGGTTTAGGTTGGCCGTTTTTTCTTTCCTTTTCTCCTTTGCTGTGACACTGATTTGCTGGGAACATCTTGTACACATAACCACAGTGGACAAAGTGGCTCTTGAAAAGTGGCAGGGATATTGGAGTGCTATGCATAAAATACATAACATTGCTGGGGAAATATGAAGAATTCTAGATCAAGATCACTTCCAGAATGTGCTAGAGTCATGAATTTTGCATAGAAGAAAAGGCTCTGAAGACAGTTATTTTTAGCAGCTTTACAGTTTCTAGGTGGCACATCTAAATGAATAGGTACAAATATATAGAGCTCAGTTTAGGTAACGAAGCTCCTCTCCAACACAATGATCACAATTTGCTCCCCCCTCCTTCCATCCTCATGCTGAACCTCAATCCCCTAGTAATTGAACTCCTTCTAATGGATTAAAATCTTGGGTGGGTGCAAAGTTCTATAATTTTTATGCCATCCCCAGTAGATATACCCAACTTTAGAAGCTGCGTACCTGATGGTTAGTCCTATCCACTGTATTGGCCGTGGAGGGGTGGTCTCTAGTGTTCTGACGAACTCGAGTAGAGTTTTGCTGCTCAATGGTGGAGGAAGTTGGGATACAGAACTCTCTGAAGCATCGTTTGAAGTTTTCATCCAGAAATGCATAAAGGACTGGGTTCAGGCAGCTATTTGTGTAACCTAGAGCAATGCAGAAGTGCCAAGAGACGGTCTGGAAAGTAGTTTCTGGGATCGTAATCAAGGCTTTAATGATGACATAAATGTGAATGGGAGTCCAGCAGACAATGAACACAGCCACAACCACAAGCACCATCCTGGTGATTCTTCTCAGGTTTCTGTCTTTTTCTTTGGAGCCAGAGAGCATACGGACACTCTTGAGGCGTAAGATCATCAGTCCATAACACACCGTAATGATGAGGACCGGCATGATGAAGGCAAAGATGAAAACACAGATTTTCAGCAGGTTTTCCCAGTACCATGTTGGGTGAGAGAATGTTAGTGTACAGTCTATGGAACCTAGAAGAAAAGAATTATACGGAAGAATTAGCAGCATTCAATTACGTTATTGAGTATTAATATTACCATTTTGCTTTAATGTACAGCCTTGAGGAGAGATAACTTAAGGCCATTACTACACAAGCCAGTAAGGGAAGATTTAAAAAAATTGTGAGAGAAACATATTCTCTTGTTGATTTTCAGGAAGAGTTATTTTTAATCTTTTTTCTAAATATCTCATTTTGTTGTCTACTTCAATTATATTAAGCTTTCATTCAGTCAACAATTATGGACCTATCATCATTAGCTAGATCCTCTATGGGACTATGTTGATATCAAAACATATAATCACTGTCCAAAATCTATAGAAGTTTTTAGCTAATGGATGTTTTCACTTCACTTTTTGATAGGTAGTTCATCATCCTGATATGAGGTCTAAAAAGACAAATTTGTCATGTAGGCAGTCAGTTGAAATTTTAAAACAAGCCTCTCACTTAATGTTTTTTGGGTTTAAGCTCTAATTACTCTTGGAAGAGCTATATTCTTATTTCCCTATCATTTTGAAAAGGTAAATGCAGAGAAATCAGGAACCAATAGATTGCATTCTGTATACAATGTTTAGTGGGCTTAAAATTATAGGTAAAATTCCTATTTCGAAATATTTAAAGGCATTTTGCTGGAAAGAATCGTTAAAATTACAATTTGACTAAGACATTGGACCACTCCATGAATTCTACTTGGCTCATGACTTCACCAACATATTGATCTAAAAACTCTCCTCCCTCAGGCCTGCAACATTACTCACCATGCCTGTATTTTGTTGTTGCCATGAACATTACAGGCAGACCAATGGCTGAAGAGAGGATCCAGTTGCAGACGTTGACGATTTTGGCATTGCGGGGAGTACGGAAATCCAGGGCCTTGACGGGATGGCAGACTGCAATGTAGCGATCAACACTCATAGTACAGAGGGTGAATATGCTGGTGAACATATTATAGTAATCTATGGAGATCACGATCTTGCAGAGGATGGTTCCAAATGGCCATGTTCCCATTAGGTAATTAACACTCTGGAATGGCAGGGTGCTGGTTGCTAAGGCATCTGCCAGAGCAAGATTGAAAATATAGATGTTGGTGGCAGTCTTCATTTTGGTGTATCTAGGAGATTAAGGAAGAGCAGTGGCAGAGTCAGAAAAAGACACTGATGTGAAATACAGATAAGCTTCCAATAATAAAAAAAAATGCAAGGATTAGTGGAAAGCATTTGAGATTAAGTATGGAAGAATTTTTTCTAGTACTAGATTGGCTATTTATAACCATGTGCCTATGGAGTAAATATATAATTTCCCTACCTGTCTGTGTTCTTATCTGTAAAATGATTATAATAATAGCTGCCATACTAATGTACTGTTTGTTTGGTATTTTTTAGTGTGCCAGGAACTGTGATAGGTGTAAAAGACACGGGGAGCTCTCAGTCAAGTATCCAGACACTGGATAATAATTCACTTTAATTCTAAACACATAAGAGAAAAATTTCAGATATGTGGCTAAAATTATGGAACAACATAATAGTGCAAGAGTGTATATATAATGCATGTATGCGCATATATACATATGTACATATACACAAATGCAGGCTATTATGGGCACATAGAGATGAGGCAAAGGCAATAGAAGGGGTAAGATAAGGAAAGAAGGAAGGCATCCTGGAAGTCCAGACGCAAAAATTTAATCTGACGGTTAGTAGGTGTAGATCGGTCCAGGCAGAGAAAGAACCTACAGGCTTAGAGTTGAAATGGCATGAAGCGCATGTTTGGCACTGCTTAAGGGTGACAATGAATCTGATCAAGGAGGAATATGGAGGCCAGTTCATGGAGAGACTTGTATGCCTTGGTAAAAATATTAGACTTTATCCAATCTGTGATGGGAAAGTTAGGTTGTTTTGTTTTTATTATATAATAGTTCCATTGAGGCAGATAATTAAACTGTGCAGTTTGATAAGTTTTGACATGTGCACACCCTTGTGAAACCATCAGCATAATCAAGATCAGGGACTGGCAAACTACGGCCTGCAAACTCAGTTGGGCTGCTGCTTGTTTTTGTAAACAGTTTTATTGGAACTTATTCACACACATTTAATTACTTCTTATCTATGACTGTTTTGATGATGCAATGGCAGAGTTGAATAGTTGCTACAGAGACTGTATAACTTGCAAAGCCTAAAATATTTACTATCTGGCCCTTTACAGCAAAAAAAAAGCACCAAATCATCATCAAGATAAATGAACATTTCAATCACCCCCAAAAGTTTCCTTGTGTAGCTCTATAATCTTTCCATTTTGCCCATCCCTGTCTTGACCCCCATCCCCACTCTTCCCTAGGCTATCACTCAATCTTGATCTGTTTTCTGTCATTATAAATTAGTTTACGTTTTCTAGAATTTTACGTAAATAGAATCATTCAGTATATATTCTTTCTTTCTAGTTTCTTTCACTCAGATAATTATTTTGAGATTTATCCATGTTGTTGCATGTGTCAATAATTCACTCTTTTTCATTGCCAAATGGTATTCCATTGCATGGATATGCCATAACTTGTTTATCCATTCATCTATTAATGAGAATTGAGCTGCATCTAGTTTGGGGATATTACCAATTAGCTGTTATGAACATTCATGCACAAGTCTTTCCATGGACATATGTTTTTCTTTTTCTTGTGTAAGTATCTAGGAGTGTTATATATCTTCAAAGCCACAGAAATTAGAACTACTAAGTAGAAGAAATAAGCAGACACACTGACAAGAGTAATAAATTGTATCTGATGGTAGAAGAGTATCTTGCAAATATATTGTCAAATTGTCCAATATATTTGACATTCCACATCTATTTACCCTGATGTTAGTAACAGTACCTCAGTTTCACTCCGGGGACCCACCCATTTCCCACTCTCAGTCCATATGTTTCCGTGGGCTCCATTACCAGTTCAGGGCATAAAGATGTAAAGCAATTGGGGCCACCATGGATGTTCAGCAGTGGTCTCACATTTCAACTAGAGCGAATGATATTTTGGGGGGACTTCTGGGAAAAGAGTATACTATTTTTCCCACAGGACCCAAACCCGAGAGGATGTAAAGTACACAGTTTCTGGAAGAGCTTGTCTGAAAACAGACCTAACCCCGAGGATATCAACAGAGTGAGAGAGAAACCCATACCTGACACCGAATCTTTTTTGGACTTTTTTTTTACCTGGTACAATAAATTCTCTTTAAGCTTCAGCTTGTGTTGTTTTTCAGTCACACGAAATTAGGACTCTAACTCATTCAGCCCAAGATGGCTGTTGGTAGGAGGAGATGTTCATAGACTCCTTTGTTTAGGACCTTAAGTCAGTGTTCCAGGAAAGTTTGCTTGGTTTCAATAAGCACCAGGAAGCTGAAGTTATAAAGGAGGATTTCATTAACCTCCTCAGGGTCAATAGGCTCGAACTGTTTCTCGAGCTCTAAAATTCTGACACTCGATCTAGCCTGCTATCATTTCAGAAGTGGCATTACTGCCAGAACGGCTCCTCATTTTCAGATTTGGGGGCTTTTGAATTCAGTAAGAATTCGACGAGCCCCTTTTATTTGTTTGGCACTGTGCTTGCAAAGATACCTTTCTAGAATCTGTTATGACTTTTATGTCCACTTACCCTCACATTAAAAAATCCACATTTTTGAAGGAGAAAAGAAACTCCCTAGAGTGTCATCTTTAAATAGCAATGATTTCTTGGATAAATCCAACGAAATAAATGTACTTATATACTTCAGGTTATTATTTAGATGAAGAAAATGGTCATATGAGTGAGGACCTACCTGCATTTCTCCTTTATTATCCATTCCATTCTGATATCTCAGGCAAGCATGTGTGTGCGTGTGTGTGTGTGTTTGTGTGTGAGAGAGAGAGAGAGAGAGACAGACAGACAGAGACAGAGAGACAGAGAGAGACAGAGAGAGATTGAAAACAACAGAAACCAAAATCAAAACCAGTGATACACTCTCTTCAGCTATTAACACAGAAAAAGGCCATATATTAATTTGTTATTTTCTGTTATGTTCTCCACTAGCTTAGTGAAAGAGGGGACAGGGCATGTCTCACTTAGCCATAAAATGTTTAAAACATTTCAATGACATTTATTTCAAAGTGGTTTTGTGTGGTCAATGAGCAAATCTCCACTGAGCTTATACTAGCAAATGGAGAGAGTATTAACCTCGGACCTCTGAGCCCCACAGACAGGAAAGTGACTGTGGCTTGCTGGTTTCCTTCAAAACAGAAGACAGAGACCTACAAGAAATTAACCAAAGAGGCCCTTTTTCCAGAGGTCAATTGTCTCTTTCCATCTGTGTTACCAGAGTGTAATGATCATCAGTCTTTCTGGTTGAGTGTTGCTCTCTCTTTATCCATACCCACTTCATTTTTTTGTTCTCTATATTCCTATTTTCTTCTTCCTCCGTGTCCTATTAATGGCAATTCCTAATCTCTTTCAGATGGAACAAGGGAAAAATCTGATCTCTTGAAGCATTGAGTGCACTTTATAAATAGAAAATGTGAAACGAATAATTGATCATATTTTTCATCTTTGCATTTGGTGCTGAGAAAAATCAGAATAAAATGTGTGTCTTCTCTTAATTGCATAGAATTCTAATGGCATATGAATCTAATACAATTCTATTGTACAAACTCTTTTGCTAATCTCATCATTTCATTCTTTTTTGGCTTCCTATTTGCCTCTTTTCTTCTTTATTTCTCTTATTTTACTGTATGAATGCTTATAAGGCTCTCCAAATCCTCTTTTTGAAATTGGACACTGAGGCGGAGAATGAGGAGAGAATACGGCCACACGTCAATGCTCACTCCTCTGGGCAAAACAAAGGAAACGAGAGAGACACTCTTCCGTGGCGGTCAAGAGACTTTGCTTAACCATATTCTGAATTATGCTTTTTAAAAATGCTTATTTCCTGATTTATTTGATTTCTGAAAATTTTACTTCAGGACATGACTAGCATTTATCTCATCAGAAGTGCATAAGAAAAAAACCATGTTTTGCTTCCTTGATTCCGTGATAAATAATATTTGTGCATTAATATTTATGCACTATAGAAAAATACCACTATGCTAAATCCTCTGATGTCTATAAACCACTATAATTGGATTAAATATTCTTATCTGTGACTTTAAATTTTTGTTTGCAGATATATAGATTATTCATCTCTTTAGACCAAATGACTTCAAAAACAGCATCAGAACACTTACCTCAGGAGCTTGGGCTTTTTGCTGCATAGATAACAATGTTTTGCTTTTATTGTAAAGGCCTCGTTTTTAGAATTTAGAAATATTTTAGCTTTCTAATTTGAGAATTCTAAGAGAAAAGGAAATTTCTTCTATTTTAGGATCCAAGAGTTCTGTACATAAAAAATGATCAAGTGCGTATTACCACTAACGTCAAATGATGGTGTATGCCTAGATATTTCTTTAATACTGAAGCAACAAAAAATAAGGTGACTTCAGAATATAATAAAACAATTCTATCAATATTAGAAAATTGCTTTTTGAAGAAGCTCAAGCGTATGCCGTAGATTGTACATTTTTAGAGGGCATAGACTGTGAGGAGCATTATTATCTATTGCACTCTGCGCAACAAATATAAGGCTTCATCTACACTTTTGGTGATGATGTTGTGCATGTAATCACTCAATGGAAGTAAAATATGAGAGATAGGATGAACAAAAAAGTTAAAAGAAATAAAAAATAATTAAATTCTTCATTCAGCACTGAACCCAGCACAAGCTGGGCACCAGTAAACTCTTGCTGAATGGAATTGAATACAGGAAGAGGGTTTGGGTTATTTTATTTTTATTTTTTGTGACAAGATGAAACAAACTTTTTAAAGGGAACTGGCAGCTTTTGGAGTAAAAGTGAACAGGGAATATTCCTTTTTGCCTTGTCAATTCATTGTCAAATTAGAAATAACTTTGGTCATAGCAGGTCATGGAATGATGAGAAGTAGGATCTGAAAGGGGCTTTCAAGACCACATTGCGTGATCACTTTGTTTTATGGTGAAAGAACCTGAGGTGCAGAGAGATGTGCAAATGTTTGAGGCTTCCCCCCCATTTCTCTAGGTTTCA